TTATAATTAAAATTCTCCAAAATTGACTGTAAATGAGCCTCAATTCCATCATGTTTTCTGGATAGAAATTGTTCTTGTTTCCTTTAAATTTTGTAGGTCTGTGGTAAGAGGACACAGTCTGGACTTCTCATCCTGACCCTGCTGTCACAGGTTGCTGAGAGCAATCCCAGCCAGTCTGTGGCCCAGGCCTGTGGCAATCGTCCTCTGGAAAGCCATCTCTGAATGCGGGTGACTGCAGCCCCTTCTATGCCAGCAAGGCAATATTGCTCCTGCTTTCTGAAAGTGAATTGGATCTCTGTAGTTGCTCTTTTCCTTTCACTTTCTTTCTTTTTTTTGCGGAACCGGGGATTGAACTCAGATCCTTGCGTTTGCCGGTCAAGCACTTATCCTACTGAGCCATCTCCCCGGCCCAAAACTTTTTTTTTTTTTTTTTTGCGGAACCGGGGATTGAACTCAGGTCCTTGCGCTTGCCAGAGAAGCGCTTATTCCACTGGGCCATCTCCCCGGCCCCTGTAGTTGCTCTTTTCATAAATAATTTCTGGCAGTCACTCATTTCAGCAGTCAGTTATGGGTATGTGTAGGGGCAATTTCCAGTACGAGAGCTATTAGTCACCTATGATGTTTTAACTCTTAATTAAAAGTAAATAAACACTTCAGTTTCTCGTTTACACTTACCACATTTGAAGTGCTTAGTAGCTGCATGTGGCTAATGGCTACCATGCTAGAAAGAGAATTTTAACTTTCATTCTGGTGGTTTGCTTTTGATTCGATTTGTTTGCAGAACTGGGAATTGAACTCAGGACCTTGAGTTTGCCGGGTAGGGGCTTATGCCGCTGAGCTACCTCCCTGGCCATAGAGGCAACTTTCAGTAACATTTTGTTATTGACTCCTGGATATCTGTTTTTAAACTCATTAGTTCCATCTTTCAAAGAACAACTGTTAAAGAACTTACAGTCTTTTAATTTAAGATGGGAAAACTTTGTATTTGTTTGGTTTCACATTGCAAAATAGTCTTTTAAAACTGACTTGAACAATAGATATTTACTGTGCCCACCTAAGGAGTCCTTACAGTTTGAGTGGTCATTTGTGTTGCACTGCATTGTTCATGGGAATCCAGATTCTGTCTTCTAATTTGGATATTTTTCAGTGTGTAGGCATGTCTCTTTCATGGTTGCTAGAAGGGTAATACTTCTCAAAGCACTGCCTTATCACTTGAAGACTTAAAAGGTGTGACAGAAAAGGGACATCTCTTTTTATTGTGGAGTAAAATTTTCCCAGAAACTCGCTGAAGCCCCTAGTAACATCCTGGTTGGCCAGATAAAAATTCCATGTCCATGTTACAGCAAGAGAAAAAATGAGCACCTGACATTTTAAATCTTTGTCATGATAGACTTGCTCTCCTGTGAACATTACAAAGACTGAAATTTTGTTGTCTGTTTTATTTGCCTGTCCTAGTTATTGACAATACTTAGGATAGTGCCAGGTGTACATTAATTATCTGTTGTGAGTGAATTTGTCAATAATGAGAAAATGTTAACATTCAGAGTGGTGTTACAGAGATGCACGTACATGATGAGGGCACGTTATGGCCATCTTCTCCCTCGTTTACGGTAGTACCTTGAGCTTGATTCTTCTGATTGGCTCTCAGAATAAGTCTGTAGTTTCACAATATAGTAAGACTGTGTTGGACTTGGAGTAATAAGGACATTTGACAGCACCCTCCACTGAACACCTCCACTGTGAAGACTTCTCCTCATTTTAAATTTTTTTTTTTTTTTTTTTTTTTTTTTTTTTTGGGAACCGGGGATTGAACTTAGATCCTTGCGTTTGCCAGTCAAGCGCTTATTCCACTGAGCCATCTCCCCAGCCCTGATTTTTTTTTTTTTTTTTTTTTTTTTTCAGAACCAGGGATTGAACCAAGATCCTTGCACTTGCCAGGGAAGCGCTTATTCTTCTGAGCCATCTCCCCAGCTCCTCTTATTTTAAATCTTAAATGTAGAAAATATAGACCAGGTTTGAGTTTGACATCTAAGCATTTATATAACAATTTTACTTTGAGTGCCATAAAGCATGCAATTTTTAGTCATTAAATGAAGAGTGTTCTTGGGCTGTGTAAGATGCCATACCCTGTGTTTGTTACTCCTTTTCCATTTGGTTTGTGGTTTGGGACTCTTGGGATGCCAGCCTCCAACAGGTGTGTCTGTAACCTTAGTAACTGTATCACTTCTCAAAGCACCTGGCGCTGTGGGTTGATGACTCAGCCATTTCTTATTTTAATCTGGTGACTAAACTACAGTCCACTTAACTTGGCTAGATTGTACACCACCCTGCACCATGTTGCTCCTTTCTTTGACCTCAGTTTGGATTATGTAGTTACTCACTAAAGCCATTGGAAGGAGGAATTTAGAATTCCTAGTTCAGTGTTTTAGAAGAAAGTTAGAAATACAAAGATTGGGCAGAAGACTTCGTTGCAAGACATTAAAGGGTCTTTTATAAATAATCACGTATTATGGCATATAAAAGGCAGTTGAAAAAGTTACAGTATTTCTACTTGAGTTTGGAATAATTACTGATGTTTTGATTAGATCTCTTTCATTTTATTTCACTAATTTTAGATATTTTATGTATTTCTGAATGTGGCAAATTAAAATATGTTTCTCATTTAAAAAAACTGATTGCATGAGTTGGATTTTCATTATGTTCCATGTGTTTCCAATGGACAAATTCAATTAAACACAGAACCAACATTCTTATACTTGACTCTGTGTTTGCCATTTAATATGTGGTCATATATATTTCCTTTGATTGATGCACAGGCCTTAATGTAATTATACTGCTTTTCCAGAAGCTCTCTGAAGCCCCTAGTAGCATCCCAGTTGGCCTCTGAGAGTTTTAATCTCTGTCATGATAGACTGGCTCTGCTGTGAGCATTATAAAGACTAAAATTTTTTTGTTTTATTTAAATTTTATCTCATAGTGTGAACTAAGATGAATAATAGCTTTCTAAACATCTTCAGTGAATACTGAAGAAATATTTATTTCGTTGATTGGAAAATGAAAAAAACTAGAAATGAGGGCCAGGGAGATGGCTCAGTAGAGTAAGCAAGGGCCTGAGTTCAATCCCTGGTTCTGCCAGAAACAAAACAAAACTCCCCCCCCCAAAATTAGAAATGAATGTATTATTACTTTGTGCATTAATATTTATCTAAATTATGTATTGCATGTTATATATTAAATGCATGTACTTAGGTACCTCTTTTAATTTCACCTCCTAGCTTATACGGTAGTAGAGTTTTGCCTATGAGGAATGGTCTGTTTCAATCATGTGTGACATAAATATACCTTGGGGTTTGTAATCTTGAGCAAGTCAACGTAATCTCTTTGTGTCTTAGTGTCCTTATTGATAAACAGAACATGATAACAGCACATTGCTTATTCATTGGTAAATGTGTTAATATCTATAAAACCCTTGGAACCACCATTGGTCATATTAGACCTCTACTAGTTTGATAGAATTCTGTAAGCACTGATTAACTCCATGGGACTTATAATAAGTATATATTGTATATTGTAGGAAAAATGTGTGCTGCATATCCTTTATGTTAGTAAAATTTATAGCAAAGTGGTATACAGATAAATGTGCAGTGGTATACAGATAATATACAGATAAATGATTATGGTTATCACTGTATGATGCCACCTCCACGTTCATCCCTGAATCTTACAGGTGGTTCTTCAGCATATGGATAATGTCTGAGCGTAGCCTGTAGCGACACTCTTGGTATCCTATCCAGAGTTCCTGGGCCAGTGCATCTATCTCACAGCTGTTGTGGGTATTGGCTGCTAATGACTCACACCTGTATTTTCCTCTGGAGACCTGCTCCTGGCTGACTGCAGTTGTCTGGACCAGATACGTCTGGGAGCTATGAGCTCAGGCCCCAAACCCTTCCTGCTTCTCAGGGTGATTCACAGCCAGTGATGATACAAGGGTGTAACACCAGCCTGCTTGCCTCTGGACTGAACAACTTCAGTGGTTCCATCCAAGCTCCAGAGTCCTTCATGGAATCAAGCCGAGGCTAGATTTCTGAAAAAATATCTTTGCCAAGATTCTTCTCCCTATCTTACTACTTTCACTCCTAGTTTCTCCTGACAGCAGTTAATTTATAATCAGTATATTAGAAATATCATCTCTATCCTCTAGATGGAATTAAATAAGGCTGTCCAGCTAAGCCAGCAATTTATCTTAGTCCACTTTCTGTTGATATAGCAGAATATCACAGACTGAGTAATCTTTAAAGAAGAGGAATTACATATCACAGTTCTGGAGGCTTGGAAGTTGAAGGTTGAGGATATGCATCTGATGAGGACCTCAATCTGTAGAAAGCATAATATGGCGAGACAGCACAAGCATGCCTGCTGGGGGTCTCTACCTCTTACATATCATCAGGGCCCCTCTTAATGTTTCAACTAACCCCTAATTACTTCCTGAAAGACGTACTTCCAAATACTATGAACATAAATTTGCAGATTAAGTTTTCAGCATTTGAATTGGGGGTGAATACTTCAAACCATAGCAGAATGCCATCAAATTATTGCCGAACTAACATAAATGGGACAGAAAGAAGCCTTGGTGAGCATTGGGTGGTTCTACTTTTTCAGTTCTATTCTCAATTCATAAAAAGTATAGTGTAGTTAGGACTCTTACGCAGAATCTGGAAACATTCTTTAGACTTTAGTCTTACCCCAGTTCTTTTTCACATACGGTGACGTAAACGTTGAGAGAAATGACTTAAGTTTGATGTTCTTCAATATCCTGTCTGCCACTTGGTGCTAGCATCTTTGTTCTTTCTCATCATCTGTTCTAGATTAGAATTCTATTCCATCCTATAGACTTTCATTCTGAATTTTGCAAAGGTTTCTAGCAGAAATTACTGTTGAGAACATTTTTCAATTTCTGAAAACCATTTCCAAAAAGCACAATTTTGTTTTCTTTTTGACAGGAGCTGATAATATCCGGAAATACTGGAGTCGCTACTACCAAGGATCTCAAGGGGTAATATTTGTATTAGACAGTGCTTCTTCAGAGGATGATTTAGAAACTGCTAGAAATGAACTGCACTCAGCTCTTCAACACCCACAGTTATGCACTTTACCCTTTTTAATATTGGCCAATCATCAAGACAAGCCAGCAGCACGCTCAGTGCAAGAGGTAGGTCTCTTTATTGTGGTGGCTTTTGTTTACCTTGTTGTTTATTGGACTACTGTTACCGTACTGGAATCTAGAAAGACGTTTATTTAGGGATGTGCAGTTATGCTATTTTGATCTTGAAACTATGGTTCTTTTAGAAAGCCTGGCTCAGTTTGATAGTTTACATACTTAATCCTAATTGAAGAATACTGTACAAATTGTTTTCTAACTGTGTTTGAAAACCTGCCAATGTATTATTCTCATCTACTTTGAAGGGCTAAAGGCCTATTTAAGGTTTTTTTTTTTTTTTTTTTTTTTAACTCCATCAATTTAATTCATTCTTCTCCAATTTTTCAAATGCATTGTGTGCATTCCCATGCATCCCTTGCCTTCAGATGTCATGTTCCTATCCCTCTGAAATGATTGCCCCCTGGGAGGAATGGGGCTATCATCCAGGCTAAAATTTGATTTCAATTTCAAGTCACTAAGTACATTTGTTTTTTTTTGGTTTTTTGTTTTTTTTAATTTTTTGTTGCTGTTACAGGGGATTGAATTCTTTTTTTTAATATTTATTTATTTTTATTTATTACATTTATTTATTGTGTGTGTGTGTGTGTGTGTGGCCAGCTCAGCCCACCAGGGGGCGGGGCTGGCTGGCATGTGGTGCTGGGGATCGAACCGCGGTCCCTGTGCTTTGCCAAGCTTGTTTCAAGTAGGTGCTTTAGACCACTGAGCCATCTCTCCAGCCCACTAAGTACATTTGAATAAGAGTCCACTCTTTAATTTTCTCATTTTAATTTTGTAGTTTATATTTTTCCTATAGAAGCAAATAACTCTGAGCAATTAGTATTTTGTTCAGCCAAGCTTCTAATTCATGGTACTAGAGTAATAAGATAGTGTTTAAAACTTAAATAATACTGCTTTATAACCTAAGTACAGTGAAATGAAAACTCTAGGTATATCTTTTTACACCTGTACTTTTGAGTATATATTCTTCAACTCCTTCAGGACATTGTATGCTTCTTCAAGAGGCCTTGGAATAAGATGATTAACAGGGACAACATTGCCATTTACTTTGAAAAAATAAATGGGAAGCCAAAAACCTATATGTTTTAACTCCAGACCTCTCGCACAGGTGGTGTGTGACCCATATCAAATAACTTTGTTCTTGGGCCTGGCCTCTGACCTATAAAATGGGAATGATGTAGATTATTGAAATTCAGTGGGATTATTTGGTTAATTTACTATGCTGTTTAAAATATGGAGCAGAAAAGGGACATATAATATAGACAGTTTTCATAAATTTTTTTAAAATTAATGTTTTGTTATTAAAGTTCTTATCTGCCTTTAGGCTTCTCATTGGGCACTAAGTACTTAGTACCCTGTTATTTATGGGTTTTGGAGAAATATCATTTAGTAATTTAAAAGTAATTAAAAATAAGCAGAAAAGCTTACAGAGTCATTATTGTGTACATCTTGCATATGTAATAGTGAAAACTTCCTCAGTTGTTCTGAAGAGCTTAGGTAAATCTTTTAGTGTTTCACTATCAGATTTTCTGTCTAAAAGGAATATTGTAATACACAATGATGGATTGCTATATGTATAACTTTTGTTTTTGATGTAACATGCTTTGTTGGAAATACAGTGTTATTCTGATTGTTATTGAGGAAATTGTATAGTTATAAAATACAGATAATATAAAGCATGTCATACTGGTATGATATGCAACAGATATGATATATTTATAACTTGAAATCACTTTTTTGCAAGTTATTTATGATATCTGATAATGGGTATTTTCTTAAAAGAAACTTTTCTTTAGACATAATAGAATGGAGACAAATGTGTTATTTAACCCTAATATATGATTCATAGTAATCTTATCTGTGGGAAGTAAAGACTGCTATGTTATGTGAAGGAAGCTTTTGGCAGCTAATTGTTTCTGAATATTCCTTGTGTAGTTTAGCTGGCTGTCTATCCTAGGAAAAAAGCAAATGCAGCTCTGACCCATTTTCTGTGATTACTTTTTGCCCAGCGTAGTGGTACACACCGGTATTCCCAGTGCTGGGGAGGCTAAGCTAGGAGGATCACTACGAATTCGAGCTGTATAGTGAGATTCTGTACCAAATTAAAAAAAAATTTTTTTTAATGTATTTTAGTACAGGGACTATTGGGTCTTACTTCACAGATCTGACTCATAGTGATCCTCCTGTCTTCAGTCTCCCAAGCCCTGGGATTACAGTGCACACTACCACGCCCAATCTCAATTGGTGGCTCAGCACGCCCTGGAGGCAGTGGTGAGGCCAGATGGCTTGCTGGGGATCGAACCCTGGTCCCTGTGCTCTGCCTAAGCAGGTGTTTTAGTCCTCAGAGCTATTTGGCTGGCTCTGTACCAAATAAATTAAAGAAAGAAAGAAAGAAAGAAAGAAAGAAAGAAAGAAAGAAAGACAGACAGACAGACAGACAGACAGATGGCTTTAAGTGTAGATTGATCATAGCTATGGTTTGAAGACAATTGTAAACTTACATGTAATGAAACATTTGTGATTGATTTCTTTTTAAAATTAAGTTTATTGGTACATTTTAGGTGTATATAATCACATTCATCATAGGAAATTTGTACTTCTATGATATATCTTAATACTTTTCTTTCCCCCTTCCCCTACCCTCCCTCCAACCCTTCTTCCTCCTTTTCATTTGTATCAATTTTGAAATTAATTTTCCTTAAACATTTTTGTTATAGTAAAATTTATGTAGTGTCATTTTCAAAACTGGTTTAAGTAAAACATTTTTACTTTGGTTGTATAAACATGTACAGGTTTGGGCCAGCCAAATAACTCAGCAGATTAAAGCACCTGCAAGAAGGCCCAGGGGCTGGGGATTTGATCCCCAGGCCTGCTGTGCCGGCCCCACCCCCAGGGCATGTTGAGGTGGCAGTTGAGACTGTGCATGGTTGCACAAGCCTGTAACCCCAGCTCTTGGGAGGCTGTAAAAAGGTGGATCGCTATGAGTCCGATCTAGTAGTGAGACCCTGAACCCCCTTAGACCCTTCCCTAAAAATAGAAAGAAACAAATAAACATGTGCAGGTTCATGTTAACAGTTTGAGTAATTTATCAAGGTCCAAGGACAAATACCTTTATAGATCTTGAAGTATGTCGAAGCATAATAAAATGTTGACATTTACTTTGGAGTTGCCCCAACAGGAAAGGGAAGCCCCCATCTTTCCTATTTCTTGATGACAAAGAGGCAAAGAGGTTTCTCTGTATAGTGTATTATAATGCTTTGTTGAAATATTCTCAGGAATGTATTAAGAGTTAAGTCAGTATGTTATTGTCAGCATAAAATGGAGATGTGGATCTGAACCACCAGTGTAAATAATAATCCCAAACTGTTTGGGCTTAGGCTTGGGTAGAATATTGGGAAGCATGTAAGCCCCAGGATACTTGAAATATGTTTAGGCACACTCTTCCTTTTAAAATTTCATTTATAACAGCACTGGATCTGTGTATTTGTGTACAGTTTGTGGGATTTTCAGGTGTTTACAAGAAGGCATTTTACTCTGTTTTAGGCAAAATTCTGTTAAGAGTCATGAGATACAATCAGCTTACCAAAAAACTCTGACCAACCCGTTCATACAGTTAAAAGTTCTCCCTGAAATGAAAATTATTACACTTGATGGTTTATGCAAAAAATGGGTCATTATTCTGTCACTAAAGTTAAATGTTAAAGAGTTCATATGTTTAATGAGGATGTCAGAGTATTACTGACTTTACAAGTAGATGGGGGCCGGGCAGATAGCTCCGTGGAATAAGTGCTTCCCTGGCAAGCATAAGGGCCTGAGTTCAATCGCTGGTTCCAAAAAATAAAAATAAAAAAAAAAAAGAAAGGAAGGAAGAACATTCTCCCAAACTGAGAGGAAATTTAAAATATGAAGCTTAAGCACTTTTGGGGCCGGGGAGATGGCTCAGTAGGATAAGCGCTTGACTGGCAAATGCAAGGATCTGAATTCAATCCCCAGTTCTGGGGGAAGAAAAAAAAAAAAAGTAGATAAATTCCAGTGAAACTCAGGCATAAGAATTACCACAGGATTTCCATGGAAAACTAAAAATCACCAAGAAGTTAAATTTTGAGTCCCTTCCCCTAGTATGAATGCTGCTATATTTCTGTGAAGCACTGAGTTAAGAAACAAAGCCAATGGTTAAAATTGCTATGTAACCCACAGTCGAAGGCAATATGCCCAATTATTTTGTTGCCATTTGAGAAGTGGATTCTTGTTTATAGTATAATTTACCTTTAAGATTATGTACCTTGGGAATTATAGTATACTCTTATGGAGGTTTTTTTTGTTGTTGTTGTTGTTTTGTTTTTGTTTCTGAACAAGTATAACTTAAAAATAGCAAGACTGAGGGAAAGAACACCCTTTATTTGCTGTCTGAAAGCCAAGCAATTCTTGAAACAGCTGCTTGTTGTATTCACTTTGGGGAGGTGTAGTTAACACAGTTTTCCAGAATTCACTTGTATCAGCTATTTTTCTCTATAGAAAACATACCAGAAAAATCTATAATTATGCCAAGCAGTCCACTTGATCTGGTTGGGGAAAATCTGGTGTAATTTAAAAGATAAAGCTATAAAATGAGAAATCTTAAGGGCAAATAGACTGGCTTTTTATTTATATTGAATTGTAATTGTATCTAATTTGTTTTACAACTCCCATGAGAGAGCATACTTCAGCTCTGAAGTTATTTTATAGGTCAGGAAGATTTTATGAGAAGTTGATGTGGTAGCCAATAAATGCAATAAATATCCTATTTTCCCTTTACACAGTTGTTGACTGTGGTTCTTTTACCTCTTAACTTTTTAAAGTCTTATTTTCATTTTGAGTATTGCCATAGCTTATGAAGTGACACATTTTGTTAATGTTAAAGAAATAGTCCATATTTTTAGCACTCTCATCTAATTTGATATTTATCCATATCCTTAATCCATATTCTTAAAGTTAAAAATAACATTTTCATAAAT